CGGTCACTATGCGTCCGCATACCTGTTGTGCGGTCGCATAATGCACCGCAGAACGATTCTGCGGACGCATAGTGCACAACAGAACCTTCTTCCGAAAAATCCCAAAGCGGGATATGTGACAAGAGTGCGGTCCGCGAAATGGTTATGCTGTCGCATAATGGGCCGAAAAAATGACATTAAAATGGCTCAAAAGACTGCTCCACTCTGCGGCCATTCTGCGGTCCGCGGAGTGATTCTGCGGTCGAAGAACGGGCCGCAAAAATGCCTACTTCTACCCAACATTTTTCTTGAACTCCCCAGCGCACTGTTCAATCCAAAATGTCCGAGCTCGCCGCGAAGAATTTTTACTGTTATTAACCTCTACGCCTACTTCGACATCACGGAATACGGGTTTTCAGGAAAATTTTTACGGGACCTTACATGTGTATCCTATTTTCTTTTTGTAATATTATAAGTTTATTCTTTATATTGTTTGTGCATGATATTATAAAAGGACAACAAGCAATACACGCTATCCAAACGTTAGTATTCATCAAAACACTTCAATACATTACAATACAATATAATATATTATGAAACTATACGTAATAACCATCCAAACAAGATCTTAATGTAGGAAATAGTGCAAGAGTTCTATGACGAACATAAACAAAATGCATATTGGCTGAAATAAAACACACATTATATACGTATATTTCATTTGTTAGAACTTTAAAAATTTCAAGTAAAATTCTTCGAAATATACATCTTGTAAATGTCATGAACTACATTTGTATCTCTCTTCCAAAAGGAAAAGACAGTTAAAAGATGTAAAGACATAGAATTACTAAGAATTTGATGTTAGATTTCCAACCTATCAATCTAGAGGAATAATATCGCGACTCTCCTTTTTTCCTTCCTCTTGCTATGGTCACCAAAAATAAAAAAAATTCAAGAAAAATGAATGGAATGTGTAAAACTTTTCCTAATTAACTAGCCACTTTCTCTTTAATTGCGAATGGCATTTTTACTGATCCAACCCACAAATTCCCATTTATTTCATTTACTTCACTTACAAATTTCCATCTTTTGCCCTTTGAGTCCTCTAAAATCTCCACTATATGGCCATCTTCACCAAGTCTAACTGCTAAACCACCCCCACCAAGACCAAGACGTGCCAAGTAGGAATGTGCTTTAGTAATATCAAAAGGGATTTTAGCCAAATAATTTTTAATCCAAGTTTTGGAGAGAAGCCAGTCTAAGAATTTGCTTCTTCTTGAGTTAACTCCCACCCAAAACTCTCCATTTTTATTTCGTTTAATATTGTCTGGAAAACCTGGGAGCTCTGAGACAACCTCAATACTGCCGGCTTGTGATGTTTTGAGCCAAAACTTGAAGATTTTGCAAGTGGTTGTCTCTGCAAAAAGGAGAAAATCACCATGTTTGCTCATGGCTACTCCATTTGGGAACTTGAGATTCTTGAGTAGAACTGAGACTAGCTTGCTTTGCATGTCATATTTCATTAGCCTTCCTGTGTTGTCCCCACTAACTATGACTGATACATAACTCCTGAAAATGTTAGCAATTTATGTCAAAGATTATGGTCTAGGGATCAGAGGCGGATCCAAAATTTACAATTGAATTCGTTACACTAGTGAAAATTATGAATTCAAAATTCAATATTTAATAAAATTTTAGTGATTTTTTACACAGGGTTACCTTCTTGAGAATGTAGTACTGCTATCTGTAAAATAGAGGACTCCATGAGTTTGATCAATGCAGAGTGAATTGGTGAATCCAAAAGGAACACCTTCTGCCATTTTAGCAACTTTGGTAGCAAGGCCTCCATTTGGGCCTACAACGAAGAGGCCCAAATAAGCATCTGCAATATATAGATCACCACTATTTTCATCAAAGCCCAGACCCAATGGACGCCCACATCTATGCTCAGTTTCAGTATGGTCATGAAAACCTTCACATCCATCCCTGTTATTGCAGTCCCACTCAAAAAACATTAAACAATGTTTGAGCCTAATTTGATTAAACATAGTTAAACATCCTATCATATGAAGAGGCGGACCTACCCTTTGGATAGGGGAGTCACCGGCCCCGGTAATTTCGAAAAATATATATGTATATGTGTATGTATTTTAAATAGTAACATGTATATATTTTAATTGACACCCAAAGATTCAAAGCTTAGGGAGTTGCAGTGGTCGATTTGGGAGGAGGGGAGGTACAACTTAACTTTTAGTGTGATGTCTGAGTTCGATTCTCACTCCACTATTTGCTCAAAATTTTATTCGATAGTGATTCCCCGCCACTTTCAAATCCCGGGTTATTTAAGAGAATTATCAACGAACTCTTTTCACAACTTCAATTTGATTTGATATTTTAGGCCTATACTTGCCTTAGAGATATTTGACAAGAAAAGGAAAGAAAAATAAGCCTCACAAAAATAATCTATTGGGGGACCAGACCTGGTAAAACGCTCCAAAAAATAAATAATACCGTTTAGGCACGCCTACCATGATAGAAGTCGGCAATATTAGTAAAAGAATATATAGGATGGTTCTGCTAGTAGTAGCTCCAAAACGTACAATCACAAAACAGATCGATTTGCTTAAAGAATGAATGAAGTTCATTTAATTATAAATGACACTTGATAATAATAGATATAAAACTATCAAAATTATAAAACGAAAAAGTATCTTTTTATTTTGCTTTCTCGGTTTATTTATTGGTGTGTTTATATACACAGAAAGAAAGAGAGGGAGGGAATTCATAAATTCATTTATGTTTACCATTTTGTTTTCTCATTCACGTTTAGCAACATCCATAATTAAGTAATTAGGACTCGCGTTAGCTAGTAGCTAGGAAGCGGGAGGAAAGATTAATTTAATTTTATGAGGAGTAACTCGTTTCTCAAAACTCAACTTATATTTTTCGCATAAATATAAATTATTTACACCATAATGTTCATGTTTTTCATTTTTAATTCCTTGAGCCGAGAGTCTACCAAAGTTTCTCTACCTTCTCAAGGCAGGGGTATTATACTGTGTTTGTTGTTATTGCATAATGTTCATCTTTTTATTTCATATATGAAAAACGAGCCAAATCAATTAAAAATGAACGAACTATATATGATGTTTAATTTAAAAAAGAAGAAATATTATTTTAATTGATGAATTGATGAATTTTGATGTTTTGGCCACAGCTATATATGATGTTTAAAAAAGAAGAAATATTATTTTATGAACGAACCATTAAAAATGAACGAACTATATATGATGTTTTGGCCACAGCTGAAATATTTAGGATGTCTATGACTAGAAGTATCTATTATCTTGACAAGAAAGGAACAACAAAGTATTTCAGCTTAGCACAATTACAACAGTGGTCACGATGATAATCAAGAGGTGTTCTTTAATTTAGAGGATGACTCATGCCAAGATTAGCCAGGAAGCTGCAAGACTTAAATTTTTATCCTAGCTAGAATAGATCAGGAGCAAAGGGGAATGTGAAGGATTGTAGGCTGTTTGTCAGTTTTACTCACTACTAAATAAATATGAATTAGCGACGGACAAATTCAGTAGCTAATTAAACAACAAAATTTATTACTAATCTTACTTAGCAACAAATTAGTGACAAATTATCAAAAAATTATGTTAGCCGCTAGCGATTTAGCGACGAAGTTTATAGCTAATTTAAATTTTTTTTTAGTAGTGACTCTTTCACCGGGGATTTCATGTCCAGTGATTGAGTTTCCTTTGTTTTTGTTTGTTTGTATAGCTTTAATTCTTCGAAGTGGTAATAAAAAATTTAATTACAATTTTTATTTTTTGTTTTAGTGGTGATGGGGAAAGGAAAGGGGAAGAGAAGCGGAGAATTAGGTGAGTAATTCTGATCTACCAAAATGTTTTATGTTAGAAAGTAGTCATGAAAAGAGCATGCTATATACGTAATATGTAAGTTCCTTGTTGACTAATTCTAGCTCTTTACGTCAGAACAGATCATACATGTTCTAACAACCATAAGATTAAAAAAAAAAAAAGAATGATAAAACCACACCTCTCCGGCGATGTGACGGCGAAATCCAGCCAGCGGCTCTCATTTCGGAGCCATTTGATAATTCGGCCGTCAGAAACGCCGGCGTAAGGACCATCACCGTGACGGTCAAAAGCAAAGCTCTCTGGTACAACAGCGCCCACTATTCCAATTACTTGTGATTCTTCAAACCTTTTCTCTATTAATGGATTAATTGATGAATTTTGATCAAGTGATGATGAGAAGAAGGACCCAGCTATCACAACAACAATAGCTGCCGCAAACGAAAGCTTAAAGGTTGAGCTGGAGTTGGAAAGAGATAATAGAGAATAAGCCATTAACTAGGTTAAGTTTTAGGACTGAAATTCTAGTAATCCTAGTTATTTATTTGTGGTTTTTGGCATGCATAAATATAGTTACCTTTTACGAGCATAAAAAATATTAGTAGAGAGGTTTGGTGGGGGTTTTTATAGGGAATATAATTGGCGCTTTCTTCGTCCAAAAAAAGTAATTTAATTAGTAAGGCAATAATAACAATAACAACAAATGAAACTCGTGTAATCTCAACTATGTATACATACATTATTCTAACCCTGTAAAGATAAAAAAGTTATTTTCGCCATAATTTTTTTTAAAAGAAATAAAGTAATACATAAAGATCAATAAATTTAACGTGATAAGTTCCTTAACTTTATGAAATAAAGTTTAGATATTTGAAAATTAATTACGTATAATATCAAAAGACAATTTTGATATATTTCTGGTTTGGCATATATAGTTGTGAACAATTAATATCGTTTATCAATACAAAATTAATTAACTTTACTTATATGAAACATATATTTCCTCATAGAATGAGTCAATGAGATACACTTGAAAACGGATCAATTCCCACTCTTATATATACTTATATGAATTTAACCAAGAATAATATTACAAGTTATCCACCCAATGATTTGCTTTCCCGAATGGTTAAGTTGTTATAGATGACGAGATCCACAAAAGTCGCCTTCTCTTAGTAGTTAACTTGCAATATTTATATGGTTAAAATTAAAAGGTGCATATTGTGATAGGAAAGCAGAAAGGTCCATTGCTATATATACCAACAAACAACAAGCCATATGGTCATATGGAGATGCTCTCTCTGATCTAAGAGATTAGAGTCTTAGCCACAAATGATGGATGAGTAGACCATGGGTGTGGTATGTTATGTCAGACAAAGTACGCTCCCAAACTAAGGTACAAAATTGTATTATTGAATATGAATAAGGCAATTTTGGGTTGCGGCCTATATGATAAGATAGAGCACCATATGCTTGATTTTGGTGTTTTCTATTTCCCCTCAACACTAAAATAACGGTAATGTTATTTATATGTTCTTTCAAATTATGCTGGTACAGGTGTCTTGCAGTCTAGACAGCCAAGAAGTTACCAACGTACGTAGCCTGCTGAAGGATTGTGACATTATGTCATTCTTTTTAAAATAAATGTTGACACCATGGTTAAGTTAAAGAAATCTTAGTTCTTTATTATTATATGATGTTCCATTCGCTCATATTACATTGTTATTGCTATACTGTTCCTTGAGCCAGGGTCTATCGAATAAGAGATAAGAGATCTACGTACACATCACTCTCCCCAGGCCACACATGTAAGCAGAGACGGGTCCAAGATTTATAATTTATGGGTTTCTATATCGACCTTAAGTAAATATACAATAAGTAACTAGGTTCACAATCAAATATTTATGGATATTTAGTTAATTTTTAATACATATACAGGGTATATGCAAAAACTACTGGATTCACGGGAACCCACGTATAACAGGGTAGATCCACCCCTGCCTGTAAGATTACACTGGGTTATTGTTGTGGTGGTTAGGTTAAAGAAAACTCATCTAGATATTGGGAAAAAAGGTTTTAAAAGAATTCAAGATTTAAAAAAAAAAAATCTTAAACCAACTATATGTATTCAACGATATAATAGATTTATTGTGATATTGCTGAGTATTACTTTGACAATTATCTAACTTGTAACTTTAGTGAGCATATATTAAAGCTCATTAATTCCACTGCATTTTGTTATTACTTATTACTCTCTGAATCATATAGGAAGAATGTGATTGTCATGATCCGAAATTTTCACTTTTAGGATCGTGATGACGCCTAATATTTTACTTTCTAGGCAAGTCAACGTTATATTTTAATTAGCCATTTTAACAAAAATTTAAATTAATAACAAGAAAACAAATGCGGAAATAAAGTGAATAATCCATAATAATAATCGCGATATCTAAATACCATCCCAGAACTGGAGTCACAAGTGCACGAACTTCTAGAATAATACAAATAAAGGTCTGAATAAAATTCAAGTTGTTTGAAATATAATACACAACTGAGATAAGATAGAAGGGGACTTCAGAACTGCGAACGCTGTGCAATTTTACCTCAAGTCTCCACTGATAGCTGTATCCGGGCAAATCTACAGTACGCCGCTGGGACCAACTCCGAAATCTGCACAAGAAGTGCAGAGTGTAGTATCAGTACAACCGTCCCCATGTACTGGTAAGTGCCGAGCCTAACCCGGACGAAGTAGTGACGAGGCTAAGGCAAGTCGCTTACATTAACCTGTTGTCATGACCCAAAATCTTACCCGTCGTGATGGTGCCAATCTAAATACTAGGCAAGCCGACAATCTCAATAAACCACATGTCTTTTAAATTTGAAAACATAATGATTTAATTTAGCGAAAAAAATCTCACAAGTACAAATATAATTACTCCCAAAACCCGGTGTCACTGAGTACATGAGCATCTAATATGAATACAAGTCTAGAAAATACGGTCCATAATAGTCTGAGACCAAATGCAGTAAATAAGGAGATGGGGAAGGAGAGGCAAGGTCTGCAAAATATGGCGTCTGTCTCTGAATCTACGAAAAATCAACTATGCGAAAGAAATCAACACCCGCTATGACCGGGAACACCTGAATCTGCACACGAAGTGTATGGTGTAGTACGAGTACAACCAACTTAGTAAGTAACAATAATAAATAAAGAACTGAAGATAGTGATGAGCTACACAATTATAGTTCACTTTCAGTAATTCCAGCAAAGAATAGACATGCTTTCAAATCCAGTAGTTTAAGTCAAATCAATTTTATACAGTTCAAGTTCATGTAATCCGGATATAAAAATTTTCAGAAAATTTCACAACGACGGATAGCAACTAAGTGCAACAACAAATGAAAAGCAAGTATATCCTTTCAGGGCAACAATCACTCAACTCGTCACATAATAAATAAAGAACTGAAGATAGTGACGAGCTACACAATTATAGTTCACTTTCAGTAATTTCAGCAAAAAATAGACATGCTTTCAAATCCAGTAGTTTAAGTCAAATCAATTTTATACAGTTCAAGTTCATGTAATCCGGATATAAAAATTTTCAGAGAATTTCACAACGATGGATAGCAACTAAGTGCAACAACAAATAAAAAGAAAGTACATCCTCTCAGAGCAAGAGTTACTCAACTCGTCACAATAGCTCAACCACTCGGCTCTCAGCCCTCAATAGGTATCCACCCTCACTGGGGGTGTACAAACTCCGGAGGGGCTCCTACAGTACAAGAGCTATAATCTGCACGGACAACTCACATATTGCATGGACAACTCACGTGCCATAATATAAATATCTGGATCCGCACGGACAACTCACGTGTTGCAAGGATAACTCACGTGCTATAGTATAATATAAGAATTCGCACGGACAACTCACGTGCTATAATATAATATCTCACAATCAGGCCCTCGACCTCGCCCAGTCATAAATCTCTTCAATCTCTCGGTCTCTCAACAATCATGAAATCAGCCCAAACAACAATGATATGATGCATCAATAATGAATAATAGAGACTGGGATAAAATAATCAAGTAAACTGTGACTCAGTACAAAACAACAATTAAGCAGATAGTTCAATATGTATACGACCTCTGTGGGTCCCAACAATACCAACATATAGCCTAAATATGGTTTCTAACATAACTTATAGTCAAATTTTCACAACACATAGAGAGCACATAGCTATCAACAAGTTATTCAACTTTACAGTTTCCACGGGACAGACCAAGTCACAATCCCCTCGGTGCACACCCACACGCCGGTCACCTACCATGTGCGTTACCTCCAAAATAGTCACATGACATAAAATCTAGGGTTTCATACCCTCAGGACCAGATTTATAACTGTTACTTACCTCAAGCCGTGAAATTCTTATTCCGTTAAGCTTTTGCCTCAGGAATTGGCCTCCAAACGCCTCGAATCTAGCCACAAATAATTCGATTCAGTCAAAAATATTTATTGGAATTAATTCCATAAGAAAATGCTAATGTTCCATAAAAATCTGAATTTCAGCTCAAAAATTGCCTGTGGGGCCCGCGTCTCAGAACCTGACAAAAGTTACAAAATTCGACAACCCGTCCAATTACAAGTTCAACTATACTAATTTCACTCAAATTCAACTCCGATTCGGTGTTCAAAACTCAAAAATTCATTTTATGAAAATGTAGAAAATTACTCCGATTTCTCTCAAAAAATCAGTATTCTAACGCCGAAAACGAGGAGTAATTCATGGAATATAATTACAAGGAGTCAAGAACACTTACCCAAAGTTGTGTGGAAATATTCCTTCCCAAAATCGCCCAAACAGAGCTCCAAAATCCGAAAATGGTGAAAAATAGCGAAACTCCGAACTTAAAGGGTTCTGCTCAGCACCTTCACAGATGCGGTCAAGAGGTCGCACTTGCGACCCCCGCTTCTGCGGCAAAGTGGGCGCATTTGAGAGCCAGACCGCTTATGCGGAAAGCCAAGCGCAGATGCGACTCCGCATCTGCAGAAATAATTGCGCACCTGCGAGCACTGCCCAACCAGCACTCCCTCGCTTCTGCGACCTCATCGTCACTTATGCGACCATCACACCTGCGAGTCCATTTCCGCAGGTGCGAAAATACCAGAAGCAAAATTTTCAGCAGTGGTCTTAAGTCTGAATTTGATCAGTTAACCATCCGAAACTCATCCGAGGCCCCCGGGACCTCAACCAAATATACTAACAAGTCCTAAAATATTATATGAACTTAGTCGAGTTTTCAAATCACATCCAACAACACTAAAAACATGAATCCCGCATAGATTCAAGCCTAAGAACTTTGAAACTTCTAATTTCTACAAACGGCGCCGGAACCTATCAAATCACGTCCGATTAACCTCAAATTTTGCACACAAGGCATAAATGACATAACTGACCTATTAAATTTTCAGAATCGGATTTCGACCCCAATATCAAAATGTCAACCCCCCCGTCAAACTTCCCAAAAATTCAACTTTCGCCATTTCAAGCTTAATTTCACTACGGACCTCCAAAACATTTTTCGAACACGTTCCTAAGCCCAAAATCACCATACATAGCTATTGGAATTTTCAGAATTCGAATTCGAGGTCGTTTACACATAAGCCCATATCCGGTCAACTTTTCTAACTTAATTTTTTAATTTTGAGACTAAGTGTCTCGTTTCACTCTGAGTTCTTTCCGAACCCGAACCAACTAATCGGTAAGTCATAAAATAATTGTAAAGCATAAATTAATTAGTAAATGGGGCAACGGGGTTATAATAGTCAAAATGATCGGCCGAGTTGTTACATTTTTCCTCTCTTAAACAAACGTTCGTCCTCGAACAAGTTTAGAATAATAACTGGAGTCTCAAATAAGTGTGGATACCTGCTCCGCATCTCCTGCTCAATATCCCAAGTAGCTTCTTCGACTGGCTGGCCTCTCCACTGTACCTTCATTAATGCTATGTTCTTAGATCTCAGCTTTCGAACCTGCCGGTCTAAAATAGTCACCGGCTCCACATCAAAAGTCAAATTACCGTCTAGCTGCACTGTACTGAAATCCAGAATATGAGATGAATCTCCAACTTACTTTCGGAGCATGGATACATTGAACACTGGATGAACACGTGATAGACTAGGTGGCAAAGCAAGTTCATAAGCCACCTCTACAATTTTCTTAAGTATCTCAAAAGGCCCAATATACTGAGGGCTCAACTTTCTCTTCTTCCCGAACCTTAACACACCCTTCATGGGTGAAATCTTGAGTAGAACCTTTTCCCCAACCATGGGAACAACATCACGAACCTTCCTGTCAGCATAAATCTTCTGTCTAGACTGTACTGTGCGTAGCCATTCCTGAATAACTTTGACCTTCTCTAAAGCATCTTGAACCAAGTCAGTACCCAATAGCCTAGCCTCACCCGGCTCAAACCAAATCACCGGGGACCAACACCATCTCCCATACAAAGCCTCATATGGAGCCATCTGAATGCTCGACTGGTAGCTGTTATTGTAAGCAAACTCCGCAAGTGTCAAAAATCGATCCCAAGAACCCCCAAAATCATTGACACAAGCACGTAGCATATCTTCTAATATCTGAATAGTATGCTCGGACTGTCTGTCCGTCTGAGGTTGAAATGTGTACTCAAC